TGTTGATGTACCACACCCATCCATGTGTAATATGGCCATTGGTCAAGATCTGTTGATGTACCACACCCATCCATGTGTAATATGGCCATTGGTCAAGATCTGTTGCTGTACCACACCCATCCATGTGTAATATGGCCATGGTCAAGATCTGTTGCTGTACCACACCCATCCATGTGTAATATGGCCATCGGTCAAGATCTGTTGCTGTACCACACCCATCCATGTGTAATATGGCCATCGGTCAAGATCTGTTGCTGTACCACACCCATCCATGTGTAATATGGCCATCAGTCAAGATCTGTTGTTGTACCACACCCATCAAGTCTCATAGAAATCCTCTCTTCAAATTAATAATTTTGAATACATCGTTTCTAAAAATGACTTTTTAACCTTGAATGATAATGTTTTTTCTTCAGAAATTAAAAGAAGCTGATCAAGATTTTAAGGCAATTTAGTGTGTCTCTAAGTTTGTCTCTGTGTGGGCATTTTTAACATCTGTGGTCACAAAAATGTTAATTTTTTACAGTTTTATGGATGTTTTTTAAGTCTCATGTGCTAAAGCTATGTATTGCCTGAATTAATTAAAAAACATCTTAACTGAACTGATTGATAGTGTATTTAAAATACTACATTTATCCTGGAAATACAGGTCTTTGTTGTAAGTTATTTATTATTCAAAACGGTTTTCAAACCTTATCTACGTGGTATGTATCACAATTGTCTACCGAAATATTTCTTATTTGAATTTCAGAAAACCACGGACAACTCTGTCGAGGTTGAAGAAGGTGCTGTCGAGCCAGAAACTACAACAGAAAAGGTGGAAACTAGTGTTGACTTGGAGAGTTTGGTCAGTGATATATTTAATTCCATCTTAAGTAAGACAGCTGGTTTGTACAGATTACTTCCTGTTCGGAATTGTTACAAAATACAACAGTTGAGCAGTAGTTAGTTTTTCTGTTTCTATAGCCAAAGAAGAAACTTGAAATACAAATACCCGTATCTAAACTGTATTACACTAACGCCACCTGGAAAATGTAGGAATGATTATTACTTGTTAAATATTGACCCACTTTCTGTCTTCTAGACTTGATTATAAATGTACTCACATGTATATAACATTTCTCCTGAATTATCATACATTGTTGTGTTGCAGGGCTTGTCTTACTATCAAAGACTACCAGTATTTTTACTGTGTTAATGTCTTAAGTTCAAATTTATATATTAATTAATAGATAATGATTGATTATTCCTAAAATAGAATGTCCTTAACTTTCATGTTAACAGAATTTCAAATAGTTATCTTATTTTGTTGAACAGATTCTAAAATAAAGGATGTAGTAGTAAACAAACAAACTCAGCTAGACCTAAATACTATATTTCTGTAGGTGGGTGGTGCAGTAGTAAATAAACAAACTCAGCTAGACCTAAATACTATATTTCTGAAGGTGGGTGGTGCAGTAGTAAATAAACAAACTCGGCTAGACCTAAGTACTATATTTCTGTAGGTGGGTGGTTAGTGGAAAATGTAACCAAAATTAAAAGTATCTCCCCAGGTGGTGTTTCCACTTAGTTTTTAGTTCTTTTCCACAGTACTTAGTACACTAGATAATAACCAACTTACTGTGAAAGGTGTCTAATGAAGATCACAGCTCTGTACTTCACAAAGTACGTGATGGATTGAAATGTCACAAAAATAACAAATGTTTTTCCCGGGTAAATTTTTCTTTCTATAGTAATTAAATATTAAATAAGAAAACACCAAACTAGACCAGTAGATGATGTGTTGAAATGGATAGTGATTGATAAAACGGTCTGAATTAGGACAGAAAGAAGTAAGGAACCACTATGAAAATTGGGACATGGTCTATGTGACTAAAGGTTTCTTGTATTTGTTTATTGTGAAGAAATGGGCTTCAATAAAACCTTGTAATACATCTTTCCAAATGCAGCATTATGTACTTTAAAACGTATTCATCAGTTATTGATAAAGGCAGAATATAATCTAAATGTTATACAAGTTTTTAAAAAGTGCAGTTTAATTTAAGAATCCAACAAAATGGTGTCTCAAAATATACAATTTCCCTTTCTGTACTTAACATACAGTTTGTGCTTTTGTATAAATGTTTCACCATACACTGTCCTGTAGATTTCAAATTCAACTTTTTTAAATTGTTTTGATATTTTGTTACAATCAAATAATTTTCAGACTTTATTTTGCTGCTTGTAAATAGAAATGGGCACCTACTAGCTGTTAATATTTCTAATGTATTAACAGTTTTTGTTTGATTTATAAAAATCACATGATATTAAGTTGTTTCATTTGGTCAAACTCTGCTGTTTTGGTTTTGTTTGTCATATATGGTTGCATGTTTTTAGGTTCTTGTCTCATGAGTTAACAATTAACATAATTTATGATGTGAGTGTTATTGTGTTGAAATCCACTTATGTTCAATGACCTCAAGAAGCCTCTGCTTCCCCAACCCGAGGTCTAAGCCTCGGACATGAATGTAAAGTCTCTTGTAAGTATTTTGTTTGTACTGTTTTTACTCAAGTTTTGCATCTGTGTACCATTTTGAAAGAGACAAAGTAAGGGATGATGACAAAACAAACCAGAACAATCACATATTTCAAGTATTCAGCACTTAATGAAAGAGACAAAGTAAGGGATTATGACAAAACAAACCAGAACAGTAACATATTTCAAGTATTCAGCACTTAATGAAAGAGACAAAGTAAGGGATGATGACAAAACAAACCAGAACTGTAACATATTTCAAGTATTCAGCACTTAATGAAAGAGACAAAGTAAGGGATGATGACAAAACAAACCAGAACAATAACATATTTCAAGTATTCAGCACTTAATGAAAGAGACAAAGTAAGAGATTATGACAAAACAAACCAGAATAGTAACATATTACAAGTATTCAGTACTTAATGAAAGAGACAAAGTAAGGGATGATGTCAAAACAAACCAGAACAGTAACATATTTCAAGTATTCAGCACTTAATAAAAGAGACAAATTAGGGGTAGTTATAACAGTAGCAGGGAAAGACAAGTATTCAGAAAAAAAGAGTCACAGTTAAAAAAATAAACACCCAGAATAAAACAGGATTAGCAAGAAATAAAACTTCTGACATATTTCTATATTTCAAGTATTCAGCACTTAGTGAAAGAGACAAAGTAAGGATGATGACAAAACAAACCAGAACAGTAACATATTTCAAGTAATCAGCACTGAATGAAAGAGACAAAGTGTTACTGTTCTGGTTTGTTTTGTCATCATCCCAAAAAAAACATTTTAAGATGATTACTGAAGATTTACACAAACTTTCATCTCAATACCTGACTAGAAATTTCTGTGACTTTCTCTTGGTTGATAGACTGTGTAACGTGTGGTTCTTTCTTTACAGTTTCTTCTTGCTGTTCAACCAATTGTACACATGTAATAACAACATATCTGTTTATATTATTTTAATACAACATACTCAACCCTTTGTAAGAAGTATTACTTCAAAGTTTTTAGAATTTCCCCAGCATTTAATTAATTTTGATCTCGCATACCACACAAAGATGTTAAAAGATAAAAAATATCACTTACTTCTTCTGGAGTTTCCTGTTCACATGGAGAATGTGGAAAAATAGAAATGGTTAGCAATATTAAGGGATGAAACTGATGTTTTTTTATACTTAAAGGGATATAAAAATGTTTAAAAGATAAAGTTCTTCAACAAGTATTCAGCACTTAATGAAAGAGACAAAGTAAAGGATGATGACAAAACAAACCAGAACAGTAACATATTTCAAGTATTCAGCACTTAATGAAAGAGACAAAGTAAGGGATGATGTCAAAACAAACCAGAACAATAACATATTTCAAGTATTCAGCACTTAATAAAGAGACAAAGTAAAACGAAAAGAAAGAATTTAGAGGAAGTTTGTTTGTAGTTATGTATAAAACTGCACACTGGGCTATGTGTGCTAAGCCCACATTGGGACAAGACCCCCAAGCTTACTGTTGAGCCACCAGGCCGAGATAAATCTTTCCCGATGCCTTAATGTTATCTGTAGTTGAAATAAAGATTTTCATTCTAACATAAAAAAAAGGATACTAAATACATTTGAAAAGTTTTAATGTTATGTAACAAAATATGCCAGTAAAAAATATTATATGTATAAACTGTGAACAGGACAATTGAAAGTAAGTACTAACTGTCATTGGATGGAAAATAAAGAGTAAACTATGAAATATTTAGTTTGTAGTTGTTAATAAAAAAGGAGAGAGAGAGAAGCTTGTTTTTATTTAACAGGAATCACAACCTGTCCCAGAAAGTTTTCCTTATCTTCTTTTACATTTAACTAGAGTTTAATAATGAATGTAAAAAATAATACCTTGATCTACTGTCACTGCATTGAGAAAATATCTAAATGTCCAGAGGAGTAAAGCAATATAAAAGTACAAAGATGGTGTATGTTTACTTTAAGTTTGTTTTTATTATTCACTAAAAAAAATAACGTTTGTGTCAAGTAGTATCTTCAGAATGTATGTCTAATCTTATTGGAAATAAAAAACCATATCTTAATAACATCTGTGAAATGAATTTAGTTCCCAACAATAGTGATATAACTGATTTCAGAACCAAGCATAATACAGCATTATGTACCTTAATGACGAGACGTTTGGTAACTTGTGTACCTTAAGGACGAGACGTTTGGTAACTTGTGTACCTTAAGGACGAGACGTTTGGTAACTTGTGTACCTTAATGACGAGACGTTTGGTAACTTGTGTACCTTAATGACGAGACGTTTGGTAACTTGTGTACCTT